TCTGACTGGTGTGAGGTGGTATCTCATTGAGGTTTTGATTTGGATTTCCCTGATGCCGAGCGATATTGAGCACTTTTTCATGTGTCTGTTGGCCAAAAGCACTTTCTAAATATGTGTTTTCTTCTCAGCATCAAACAGCCTGTATACTACAGGCAGCCCCTCTCCGCTGGTATGTACTGACTTAGCAGTTCCACAAAGAAAGGAGGGTCAAGCTTTTAGAAAGGAATTCCTGAGGTCCGGGAATGGGGATGTCAGCCACTGGTTCAAGGTGCTGTTCTCGCCAAGCCACTTGCCAAGCAGAGTTGTCGTTCAACCCCAGCTGAGGGCCTGCTCTGAGAATGTCATGGTTATGCTGTTTCCTCAGTTAAGATCTCAGCCATCGAAGGGACCCAGGTCCAAGGACTCAGACAGAGGTCGGCCCAGACTACAGCAGAGCTGGACAGGGTTGCGAGGGGAAAGGGAGAGATGGGTCTCACACCAGCCTTGACCTGCTCCTTCAGTATAGAGCAGAGATGGGAGTTAGAATTATATTAAACTTGAAGGAAACTGAACCTTTGTGTCCCCGCAGGAATGATTCCTGTTTTTCTTATACCCTACTTTCTGGTGTTCACTAAATTCTGGATCTTGTCTGTGCTTGCCTTAGCCTGGCTCGCCTATGATTGGAATACCCACAATCAAGGTAAGAGACAGAGGAAGAGTGGTTGGTGGTCCCTGTCTGTGCCAAGGATGGAACCACAGGGAGAGAGAAATTGAGGGAGAGAGTGGGAGAAGCAGAGAGAGAAGGGGTGGGAAGAGGAAAGAAGGGGAAAAGGAAAGGAAAATAAGTTGGAAGGGAAAGGGAAAGAAGCAAATAGGGTTAGAGGGAAGGAGAAGGAGAGAGGAGAGCATAGCTCAGCCAGGAGCAGAGATCTCTCCCAGGTTTCCCAGGAAGGATTAAGAGGTTTTGGGGCAGGTGCTCCCAACCTTGGGATGTTTTCCTATCACTTTCCTGGCTGGCTACAGGGGATCAGGGTCCTCCTATATCTTCTTGGGGGTTGGATTCAGAGGCAGTACGTACAGCTCTGTGCTCTAGAAATATGGAAGTGTGAAAAGGGGACCTCTTCTGTGGACCTGAGGAATGTAAGAAGAACCCTCCACCTCTGGGAGAGGTTTGAGGGATTGGCAGTATCTTACCTGCTCTTTCCTTCCCTCCTGTACCCACAGGGGGTAGGCGTTCAGCTTGGGTACGAAATTGGACCCTCTGGAAGTATTTTCAAAATTATTTCCCAATAAAGGTAACTACCTTTCCTTTTGGTGCCCTTGGTTCTTGTGGCCCAGACTCTCTCTCCCCTCTCAGCTCCATGTATTCAAAGGCTTTAGTGACCAACAGTGAAAGTCAAGGCCCAAAAGCATAATGCAGAGTAGGCATCCAAGATGGATGGGCAGGTGGGGAGATGGATGGATAGAAGCCTTTCTTCACAGTGGCAAACCCAGGTCAGCCTCTCTGAGCATCATAACCCCTGGCAATCCTACGACAATGATGACAACCCAAGGAACAGGGATTTGTTCTTCGTATCTACTGCTCTGACTTAATCTCCCTTTAACAGCTGGTGAAGACTCATGACCTCTCTCCCAAACACAACTATATCATTGCCAATCACCCCCATGGCATTGTCTCTTATGGTGTGTTCATCAACTTTGCTACTGAGGCCACTAGCTTTGCTCGGATTTTCCCAGCCATCACTCCTTCCGTAGGGACCTTGGAATGGATCTTCTGGCTCCCAATTGTGCGAGACTATGTGATGTCAATGGGTGAGTATAAGAAATCATTCCATTCTTTGACCTACCTCAGAGCTCCAACCCCAATAAGCCCTGACAGTCCACATCTCACATCCTGCTGGGAGAGGACTTAGTAGAAAATGAGTCCAGAACACATTGGGCCAGTAACAAGAGTATGCGGCCACGCATCATGTTCTGTCTAAGATCTGGGAGGTAGGGGTTTAGTTAGTCAGTAGGATAAGTTACAGGCATTTATAAGAGTTGCCAGGAATCTTTTCAGAAGAAGGAGCAGAAAGCTGGAGTTCAGGATCAAAGCCAAAGTGGAAAGGCAGAAGTTTGGCGGTGGCTAGTGGCTAGTCCTGATCACCCCCGAGATATTGAACTCTGGACAGTTTCCAGAGCTGTAAGACTGGGGAGAGTAGATACTATTGATCTAAGAGACAGCAAGCAGAGGAACTCAATGTAGGCCCAACTATAGTATCACAGACCCCCCCCCCGCCCCCCGCAAGGCAAGCAGTTGACCCTAGGGACCAACCTCATGCTAGGGCTAACCCAGGATGTGGAGGTCAAAGACAGAAGAGTGGAAACAATGATAGTTAGGAAACAGAACTGTCTCTAGCATGAAGAGCACAGAGAAACCCCTTTCCCCAATCTCAGGCACCAAGTTTGTTATGCCACTTGACTTTTTGGTTTCACAGGTGTGTGCCCAGTGAGTGGCTTGGCCTTGAAGTATTTGCTGACCCAGAAAAGCACAGGAAATGCTGTGGTTATTGTGGTGGGTGGAGCTGCTGAAGCCCTCTTGTGCCGACCAGGAGCCTCTACCATCTACCTTAAAGAACGTAAAGGTTTCGTGAAGTTGGCACTGAAGACAGGGTGGGTCCTGGTGCCCTATTGTCAGGGTGCCATAGGTACTTTGTAACACCTCTCCAGAATGGTTCCCTCTTTTGGAAGCCTGTTAGAGGGGGCTCCCTCTTCACTCTGATTGCTGTCCTCTGCTCCTTCACACTGTGTCTTAACTGCGTATAGGGCTCTAGATACATTTGTAGGCACTTCTTTTACTTGAAGTTGGAGAAAGAACAGTAGGAAAAGACCTTTACCTTCTGCCCATTAGCCTAGTTAGCTGGGGGTCTGGGGAAGTGGAGCTTTACTCTAATCAACCCACTAACTAAGAGGCCCAGAAAACCTACCCAGGACAAGGAAGGCCCTGGGCTTGGGGCTGTGCGGATTGCAAAAATAAAGAAGACATGGTTATTGCCCCCAAAGAGCATATAATCTGGTTTGAAAAATAGAATGCATTCATTCAGCAGTTACTGAACACCACTGTGTGTCAGGCATAGTACTAGGCATTAAGGATGTAAAAATAAATAAGACCTGGTCCTTGCCTTTAAGAAACTGACAGTCCCATGGGAACAACAGATATATGCACATGTAATTACAAAATATATCCAGAAGCCAACCACTTATCATCTCAACTATAACCCCCCATGGTTTAAACTAGCATCACCTCTCCCCTGGATTATTACAGTCTCCTAACTGCTCTGCTTCTTTCTCTGCCTCCCCCACATCCAAGAATCTATTCTCAACTGCAGCTAGGATGATTCCATTAAACGTGAGATTATGTCACTACTCCAAATGCTCCAACGGCTCCCATTTCACTCTGAGCAAAAGCCAAAGTCTTTACAAGGGCCTGCAAAACCCTAAATAATCTGGTCCTTAGCTACCTCTCATCACTCACTGCTCTCCCCCTTGCTCACTCTATTACAGCTACAGTAGACTTCTTGCTGTCCCTCAAACAAGCCATGTGCTCCTGCCTTAGGGTCTTTGCTCTAGCTGTCCCCTCTTCCTGGAATGCTATTCCTCCAAATAACTGCTTGGCTCATTCCTTTACTTCCTCCAGGTACTTGCTCAAATGTTTCTTCTCAGTAAGGTCTATCTTGATCATCTTGCTCTATTTTTTTCCTGTTGCATTTATCATCTTCTTATATATCACTGATTTTATTTATTTATGTATCTGGTTTTTTGTTTATTTGTTATTATTGTTTACTATCTGTCTTCCCTCAAGAAAAACTGCGAGAGATTTTTTTTAAATCCATTTTGTTCACTGATGTGTCCCTAGGGCTTAAACCAGTGCTGACACATAGAAAGAGCTCAATAAATATTTGTTGAATGAATGATGTGCTATAATAGAGATATATACAAAGTCCTATGGGAACAACAACTGATGGAAAAACTTTCACTCTCCAAGTAGTTTCATAAGTGAGTGACATCTGAATTATGAGCAAAAATATTAGTAGGAGTTGCCAGTCAGACCAAAAGGGAGAAAGAACTCAGGGGACCTACAACATATCAAGCACTATGCGAGGACCTAGAGATCCAAAGATGAATGACAAATTTCCCACCTTCAATCAGCTTGACAGACAACTAGGGAGTCAGACAGGTAAGGAGATAACTGTAATAACTGGGTTAGAATAGTGTTAGTGTGGGGTACCTAATTCATATTGTGGGGGAGGGAATTGGAGGTAGTCAAAAAAAGTTTCTTCAAGAGATTGAAACTGGAGCTGAGCACTGAAGGGCAAAATAGAATTAGCCATGTGAAGACAGAAGGAAGGCATTTCTGGCAGAGGGAGCAGAATGTACGAAGAAGCATAGACAAGAAACAACTTGGCACACTCAGTATGGCTAAGCAGATTGCAAGAAATGGGTGGGGAGAGGGGAAGCTAGCACAAAAGCTAGAGCACAAAAGCCACGGTAAGCAGCATGATACAAAGTGAGGATCTCTGGAAGAGTTTTAAAGAGAGGAATGACATGTCCAGATACGCAGTTTAGGAAGATCACTCTGGATGCTGGGTGCAATGAAAACAGTTAGATTGCCTAAGATTAGTTTCTTCCTATCAGAGGACAAGGTGCAGGAGCTCCCCCCAAAGGGTTCAGTTGGAAGGGTGGAGCCTGGCAAGAAAGCTGAAGATGTTTGGGTGCTTGGGTTCTTGTCCTATAATGGGAAGATTGGAAAAGTTTCATATCTTGGAGAGGATTTTGCTGGGCCTGGGAGAGCTAATACTTCTGCTCCTTTCTTTGCAGAGCATACCTTGTCCCTTCCTATTCCTTTGGAGAGAATGAGGTTCACAATCAAGAGACATTCCCTGAGGGCACATGGATAAGGTTCTTCCAAAAAACCTTCCAGGCCACATTCAAAAAAATCCTGGGACTAAATTTTTGTATCTTCCATGGCCGAGGCCTCACTCGAGAATCCTGGGGCTTCCTTCCTTTCAATCGGCCCATTACCACTGTTGGTAAGCTTTCCAATACCTCTGGACCACCCTCGTTGTTGATTCCCTGCCCCCAACCCAGGTCATCAGTCAAGTCCAGGAGGCCCAGCAAACAGCTGGGATGGGCAATGGGAATTCCAGAGGAATATGGCTGAGGGCAAGGTGGGCAGGACAACTAAACAGGTAAGAGTTGCGGCCATTTAATAGCTGCCATGAGAACATCTTTATTCGCAAGCATTTCTTCATAACTTTTCTGAGCTTGTTCTCATTCTCTTCAGCATGCATAAGATTAGGTATTTGGAGAATATGGGATGGGATGGAGCTAGAGCAGAGGGAAAGAACAAAGGAAGGGGAGGGGACACAGATACTGAGTTTCAGTATGTGGCTCCTTCTGAGGGATGGGTAATTTGAGTTGGGGAGGGGAGGTTCTCATACTTGTCTCTTCTCCTTCCCCATAGTCGGGGAGCCCCTGCCAATCCCCAAGATTAAGAGGCCAGACAAGACGACGGTGGACAAGTACCATGCACTCTACATTGATGCCTTGCGCAAGCTGTTTGACCAGCACAAAGTTCAGTATGGCCTTCCTGAGAGCCAGGAGCTGACAATCATATAACAGGAACTAGGTCTCCCCCATTACTAAACTCCTAGAGCATTGAGGGATCCAGGTAGGGCCAGGCAGAAGGGAGAATTTGGGGAGAGAGGAGGATCTCAGGCATGAGAGAGGCCAACCAAGCCAGAAAGTACTTAATGAATCTGGCTTGGCGGAAGGAACCAAGGGGCAGAGGAAGAGTAGGGAACAACCCACTTTAGAAAACAGAGTCTTGTGAATCCACAGACCTTGTGTGCCCCCTGACTCCAGCCGGCTCTCTGATCAAAGCAATGAGGAGCCAAAGAACACCACTGCTCCTTCCTCCCAAGGCTTAGTGACACCATCACGATGTAGCTTTAGGCTTAGAAGCCTTGTTGAGAAAAGGAATGGTTTGTTTCCTCCTCCTCCTTACAATTTGGGAAATACAACAAGGTAAACCAGGGACCTGTAGTTCCTGATCCAAGCAGAAAGGATTCCCTCACTTGTGACCCAGTTCTACATGGGCAAAAACTTTTGCATGCAGTTATGCTGTCTCTTCCATAAAAGTAAAGGTCTACTCCTGAAACCAAGATCACACTGTGAACTAACTAGAAATTAAGTTAAAATTTGAAAAAAAAAGAATAAAGTTCTCAATATGTAAAACAGGCTATGACTAGTTTCTAATTACTGTGGTTCACTACTGGGCTTCCCCCTCCAACCCGGCCAGGAAGCTGGTCTGTGGAGAGCCATTTTCCTTTTCTGCTTCCATCCTTTATACGTCCTCTGACAGAAAAGGTGAGGGAGAGGAACCATAACTATGCTACACAGTGTAGGAGACAGGAGAAAAACTGAGAATTGGCATAGATACCCACTGAGTCACCCATCTCTCCTAACCCCACATAACCATCATGGGTCAGAAAGAAGGGAGCCACAAGACCATGCACAGACTGAGTCTACTTTATGTCAAGTACCTACTGTGTAACAGGGATTATGCCACCATTTTCACAATCTTTGTCTCTTAATGCCAGCCCCAACCCTGTGACATTGTCGTCATCTCCATTTCACAGTAGCTAAAACTCAAAGAAGTTAAGTAACTTGCCCATAGTCACACAGCTTTGGATAGAAGCAGCATTCACCCCAGGTCTTGCTAATTCTAATCCAAAGGTCTTCCTAATACATCAACCACCACACCTCCCATTCCTCATTTCCTAGAGACCTATTAATTGGCTTCATTTTCCTAAATAAGGACCCATGGCACCCCACTGAAGTTAGTGCATAAGTGTGGGCCAAGTGACATGGATTCTACTCAGAGTGGATCCAGGTTAGACCTCAGGGAAAATAATTTATTCATTAAAAAACCAATAAATTGGAACTGGGAATCCAGAAACAAACCCATACATGTATGGCCAATTGATTTTTGCCAAGGTGCCAAGGCAATTCAATAGGGGGAAAGAATAGTTTTTCCAATATATGAATAGTCTTTTCAATATATGATGCAGGGACAACTGGATAGTCACATGGAAAAGAATGAAGTTGGAACTCTACCTCAAACCATATACAAAATTTAACTTGAAATGGACCAAAGACCTAAAGTGAGAGCTACAACTATAAAACTATTAGAAGAATACAGAATAGTAAAGTTTGCTGGTCTTGGATTTGGCAATGGATACCATAAGACACCAAAAGCACAAACAACAAATGAAGAAATAGATAAGTTGGACTTCATTAAAATTAAACACTTCTGTGCTTCAAAGAAAACTATCAAGAAAGTGAAAACCCACAGAATAGGAGAAATTTGCAAATCATGTGTCTGATAAGAGTCTAGCATGCAGAATATATAAAGAACTCTTACAACTCAATGACAAAAAGGCAGCACAATTAAAAGTGAGCAAAGGGGGGTGCTTGGATGGCTCGGTCACCCAACGTTGGTTAAGTGTGCAACTCTAGGTTTCTGCTCAGGTTGTGCTCTCATGGGTCAGGAGATCAAGCTCCAGGCGGGCTCGGTGCTTGTGCTCAGCGGGGAGTCTGCTTGGAGATTCTCTCCCTCTGCCCCTCCCCCCAACACACAGGCAGATGCACGCTCTCTCTCCCTAGCGTCTCTCTCTCTAAAAATAAATAAATCTTTTAAAAAATGAGCAAAGAATTTGAATAGCCATCCCTCCAAATAAGATATGCAAATGAAAAAGTGCTCAAATTATTAATCATTAGGGAAATGCAAATCAAAACCACAACAAGATACCATTTCACACTCACTAGGATGACTGTAATAAAAAAGACAGACAATAACAAGTATTATTGAGGGATATGGAGAAATTAGAACCCTCAGGCATTCTTGTTAGGAATGTAAAATGGTGCAGCCCCTTTGGAATACAACTTGGCAGTTCCTCAAAAGGTTAAAGATGGAATTATCATATGACCCAGCAGTCCCACTCTTACATATATACCTCCCAAAATTGAAAATACATCACCACACAAAAATTTGTACGTGGATGATCATAGCACAATTATTTATAATAACAAAAAAAATGAAAACAACCCAAAAGCCCATCAATTGATGGATGGGTAAACAAAATGTGGTATACCTATGTGATCGAATATTATGCAACCATAGAAGGAATGAAATACTGATACATACCGCAACATGGATGCCAGAAACACAGGTTGTTTATTACATAATTCCATTTCTATGAAATGTCCAGAATATGCAAATATAAAGAGACAGAAAGACATAAAGTAGATTAGTGGTTATCAGGGACTGGGGGAGAATGGAAATTGGAGTGACTGCTAATGGGTATGGAGTTTCTTTTGGGGATGATGAAAATTTTGTGCAATTAGATAATGATGATGGTTGTGCAACCTTGTGAGTAACTAAAACCCACCATATTGTACACTTTAAACTGGCAAATTTTATTTTTTAAAAATTTTTTTAAGATTTTATTTATTTATATTGACAGAGAGAGAGTACAAGCAGGGGGAATGCCACAGAGGGAGAGGGAGAAGCAGGCTCTCCGCTGAGCAGGGAGCCTAATGTAGGGCTCGATCCCAGGATCATGACCTGAGCCGAAGGCAGATGCTTAACTGACTGAGCCACCCAGGCGCCCCATGATTGGCAAATTTTATAGTATATAACTATACCTGGAAAAAGTAATGTTTAAGAAAAATCAGCCTTTTAATTTAAGGAAAAATGTGTGGGTTGTATTAAAAGTTGTATTAAAGTTTAAAAATACACAATACATTTTTTAAAATACTTTTTATTTTGGAATGATTGTAGATTCACAGGAAGTTGGACCCATTGGACCCTTTACCCAGCTTCCCACGATGGGGACTCTTACATAATTGAGTACAATATCAAAACAGGAAATTGACACTGGTACAATACTGTTAATTAGACCATAGGCTTACTCAGTTTTCACCATTTTTATGCACACTCATTTGTGTGTGTGTGTGTATGTGTGTGTATACATACAATTTGATCTCATATATACAGATTTGTATGACCCCTATTACCCTTATGACATAGAACTGTTTCATCACCATAGAGTAACTACCTACAACCCCACCTGTATAATCACACACCTCTGCCTTCATCCCTGTGCCCTGGCAATCACTGATCTATTTTCCATCTCTATAGCTTTATCATTTCAAGGATATTATATAAATGGAATCATACAGTATGTAATCTTTTGAGACTGGTTTTTTCCATTAAGTGTAATGCCCTTAAGATCCATCCAAGTCGTCATGTATCAATAGTTCATTCCTTTTTGTTGCAGAGTAGGAGTCCGTGGTCTGGATGCACCAGAGTTAGTTTAACCATTTACCCATTGAAGGACATCTGTATTGTTTCCAGTTTTGGACTATTACAAGTAAAGCTGCTGTTAACATCCATGTACAAGTTTTTGTAGAAATGGAAGTTTTGATTTCTCTGGGATAAATGCCTAGGAGTACAATTGCCGGGATATATGGTAATTGCACATTTAGTTTTATAGGAAACTCACATTATTTTCTAGAGTGGCTGTACCACTTTATATTACCATCAGCAATATATGAGGGATTAATTTTCTCTGCATCTTAGCCAGTATTTAGTATCATCACTGTTTTTCTTTTTTAATTTTAGCCATTCTGATAAATGTGTAGTGATATTTCATTGTAATTTTAATTTGCATTTTTGTTTTAGATCAGTCTCTCAGCTAGAAATGCCTGGAGGCACTCACCTGGGCCCAGACTACTTGGGGCAAGCCCACAAAGACATTTCCTCACTGGAGTCAATGCTATGGCTGGCTCGGTTTTTGTGGTTTTTATTATTTCAAGACACACCTCAGCAACAACCATCAGGGAACTTTGAAAAAACAGGGCTTATTACTCAGATTCTGGAGAGTACAGAGCATACCAGGTGCCACACAGTGAGGTCATGGGTAAAGATAGAGAGAAAGAGCATGCAGAGCTGGGTTCTGCCTTTACTGGGGTCAAAGGTAGGGTGCCTAGGGCTTCATAGCTTCATTCTTAATTGGTGAATTTAAGACATAAGAGTGGGAATTAAAGCTTGGGAAGGGAAAAGTAGGGTCACCAGTCAGTTATCTAGGTCACCAGGGCTTTCTAAAAGGGAACCTCATGGTTGGTGTCGCCTGGCTCTTTAACTCATTGTGTGGCTTGTAATGTGTTTATCTGAGATGAATGTCTTTGATATGGATGTTTTGGCAATCAAAAGCTTAATGCCAGGCATTTATGTTGCAATCCAAAAGCTAATCAGGCACTTACACTGCAATTGTCCTAATGGCTAATGATGTTAAACTTATTTTCATGTGCTTATTTGCTGTCCATATATACTCTTTTTAAAAAAGATTTTAATTTATTTATTTGATAGAGACACAGCGAGAGAGGGAACACGAGCAGGGGCAAAGGGAGAGGGAGAAGCAGGCCTCCCACCGAGCAGGGAGCCCAACACGGGGCTCATCCCAGGACCCTGGGATCATGACCTGAGCCAAAGGCAGACGCTTAACGACTGAGCCACCCCCATATATCCTCTTTACTGAAATCTCTCTTCATGTCTTTTGCCCATTTTAGATCTTTACTGTTGAAAATTCTTTATATATTCTAGATACTAGTCCTTTGTTGGATGTATGGTTTGCAGATGCTTTCTCCCAGTCCGTAGCTTGTCTTTTTATCCTCTTATTTAACAGGTCTTTTACAGAGAAAATATTTTTAGTTTTGGTGAAGTTGAATTTACCGAATTTTTCTTTTATGAATTCTATCAGTTTAGTATTGCAACTGTAACACATTACATTACAGTGGCTTTTTCACTTTCTGTAATATATGAGAAAAGAAATGCCAAATCAATTTTAAAAAACAAGAGCCATAACTTAAAACTAAAATATGGTATTTTGACTTTTGACTCCATAACACAAAATAAGCTGAGCAACAATTTTGACAAAAATATTGTCTCTCAATAATACATAAAAATAGGCAGAGTGAGATATCAAAGGAAAATATTTTTCCTGAGCAGAGTGTACTTCTGACTTAATAGCTACAGGAAGAAAACCATTTGTTGTAATATCAGAACTGGGGGAGGAGTTATCTGTAGAAGCATTAATGAAATTCCTGGCAAA